AGCCCAGGAGTTGGAGGTTGCTGTGAGCTGTGATGCCACAACACTCTATCCAGGGGGACAGCTTGAGGCTCTGTCTCAAAAAAAAAAAAAAAAAAGAAATGGGGTCTTGCTCTTGCTCAGGCTGGTCTCAAATTCCTAAGCTCAGGCCTCAGAATGCTAGGATTACAGGATTAAGCGACCATGCCTGGCTTTTTGAACCTTATTTTATATTTCTAAGTAGGTCTCTCCTGAATTATAAAATCCTTAATGAGCACTACTTCCTGGATATGTGTACTTCCCCTTCTCTCTATGCCCTCTGTGCCTAAATGGGCTCCATCTTTACTTCTTTTTCATCATTTTGATTTCAATTCTAAAGAGGTCACAAATTCCTCCTGATTATTTGTCTGGACTTCCAAGTTTACAACCACTATATGTGACATCTTTAAATTGTTCTTATTTATTCCTTTAGCACTTACTGCCTATCTTACACTATCCTAAAAAGTGTGATGAAAAGAAAATAAGGATTATGACCCTGACCTTAGGAAATGAAGATATACACAAAGGAAAAACTGGCTCGGTGCCTGTGGCTCAAGTGGCTAAGGCGCCAGCCACATACACCTAAGGTGGCGGGTTCAAATCCAGTCTGGGCCTGCCAAACAACAATGACAGCTGCAACCAAAAAATAGCCAGGCGTTGTCGGGCGCCTGTGGTCCCAGCTACTTGGGAGGCAGAGGCAGAAGATTCACTTGAGCCCAGGAGTTGGAGGTTGCTGTAAGCTGTGATGCTACGGCACTCTACCCAGGGGAATAGCTTGAGGCTCTGTCTCAAAAAAAAAAAAAAAAAAAAAAAACCAAAGGAAAAACTAAGAGATTGGTTTCTGTGACTCTGGTAAATATGGAGTTGAATCTAAAAATAAGTGTAGAATTTAGTGAAAAGGAGGAGGAAGGCTATTTTAGATAGAAGGAATAGTATAATTCAAAGCAGGAGGCCATCTGAGGTAACTGTATAAGGCCTACTACTTCCTTCTTTGCCCACCAAAAAAGACATGTCTTTTTATCTTCAAATTTTATATCAGAATTAGCTATCCATGAATCACAAGGTTTCTGACTATTACCACGATTACTCACAGGCACCACATATTATGGCAACTCATGGAGCCTAGTACACCAGGTCCTATGTGGGTTACCCCAAGGCAAGGCAAGCTTTTAGAATAATCTTAGGTAGGAAGTCTTTACTAAGGAGTGTGGGGAGTTACGTTTCTTGGAACATAACTTCCCAGAGTCCTTGAAACCCAGGCAGCTCCTACTCTTGGGTGATAAAGATATGTACCAGTTTTCCTGACCTGTTAGAACATCTGAGGGTCATTCAACTTCAGCTAAGTTAGGACAAAGCCATTTAAAGCAGTCTGAAGCCCTGAGTTCCTATATAAAAAAGGGATGTTTAACGTGATGCCAGGCATGCCCTTTTTCCCACTGAGAGCAATTCTCTTGTCTCAGAACTCTCAGTTCAAGTATCCCTTCCTCTGTGAAGTCTTTCCTAATTCCTTTGAAGTGACTTAGGTCACATCCAGTGCTTCCATTGACAGCTTACACATACTTCTGAAACAGCATTTAGCATACTATGCTGTAATTATTTGTTTACAAGTCAGACTAGCCAGTTCTTTTTTTTTTTTTTTTTTGAGACAGAGTCTCACTCTGTTGCCTCACGTAAAATGCTGTGACATCACAGCTCACAATAACTTCAAACTCTTGGGCTCAAGAGATCCTCTTGCCTCAGCCTCCCGAGTAGCTGGGACTATAGGCACCACCACAAAACCTGGCTAGTTTTTCTATTTTCACTAGAGACAGATCTCACTCTTGCTTGGGCTGGTCTCAAAACTCCTTAGCTCTAGGGACCCACCTTGGCCTTCCAGAGTGCTAGGATTACAGGTGTGAGCCACTGTGCCCAGCCAGCCACAAGGTCTTTTGATGGCAAGGACAATGTTTTAGTCATTCTGAATTCCATACCTGGTAGGCACTCAATAAACAGTTGTTCAATGCATTAAATGATGGTAACTGTACCTTCTGGATTCCAGACCAAAATTACAATAAGTATTAACACAGAACTCTGAACTCCTATTATACAGTTCTACTATCATTCTTAACTAGAATAAGAGGTCAAAGATATGAGAAAGTTGCTGTTAAGGCGCTGGTCCTTGCTAAGTTACCAGCCAAGAATATGAGTACTTGGACTCCTAAGAATGAACAAACAAGAGACATATCTACAATTGCTAAGTTTCAGGGTCATGCTCCTGCCAGAGGAAAACCAAAACATAATTAAGAATCCTTGGAAAGGTCCCTGTCTCTGCTGCCACACTATCTGAGACACACTGTGATTCCATACAACCTCTGGTGAAATGTATGGGAAAGCTATTCATCTTTTCTCCTTTTCCTTTTTTTGCAGTTTTTGGCCAGAGCCAGGTTTGAACCCACCAAACCTGGTATATGGGGCCGGCATCCTATTCCTTGAGTCACAGACACCACAGGTTATTTACTTTCTTTACCTAATCCAACTAAGGCTGTGCTATGGGCTAGGGATCTGAACTAAGTCCTCCCAGAACTGTGCCATGTTGTACACTACACTAAATCATTCCTCACAGAATGTACTCATCTCTGGCTCGGAGCCTGTGGCTCAAGCGGCTAAGGCGTCAGCCATATACACCTGAGTCGGCAGGTTCGAATCCAGCCCAGGCCCGCCAAACAACAATGTCAGCTGCAACCAAAAAATAGCCAGCGTTGTGGCGGACGCCTGTAGTCCCAGCTACTTGGGAAGCAGAGGCAGGAGACTTGCTTGAGCCCAGGACTTGGAGGTTGCTGTGAGCTGTGATGTTACAGCACTCTACCCAGGGTGATAGCTTGAGGCTCTGTCCCAAAAAATAAAAAAGAATGTACTCATCTCTGAAGGGATACAGGCAAGGCAATAAAATGCTGTTGTCTCAAATGCCTCACCCTGTAGCAATCCTACACCACATAAACCTACTGTATTCACAGGCTACTACTAAGACATAAAATCTCATCTGATCCTGTGGGAACATAGCCCCAGATTCCTTGAAGGATTAAACAAATATAGTATCCCCAAAGTTGTAGGGCTCAACAAAGTTGAATAAAGCGTAAGGACCAAAACCCAGACAAGTGAAGGGATGGAAAGGGACTCTGCCTCTGAGGAACATGTACAGCCAGGTGGGATGTGGCTCTTGGCATATAGGGAATGAGATAAGCAAAGTTCAAGGCCAAGCCAGGAAAAGTACTTGATGGCAGCTATCTGGTTCCTTGCATATTATCATTCCTAAGAAGCCAAGAAGCTCTAGTTAAATTAATTTAGGTCTTTTGAAGAAACAAATTTGTTTCCACTCTAGGCAAGAGCAATTACTAAGCCAACTCCTCAGACTAGGTGTTTTAGCGTATTTTTTTTCTGCTATTACAGTCTTACACAACACCACCTGTTAGATTAACACCTGCAGCTATCTTAGTCACAGCTTAGCCTCTTATGAGGTATGTGGTCCCACTACTCTCTTCCAAGAAGAGAAATTGAGTCATGGCGTATCAACTGGCTTCCCAAGCACATGCCCAAGTGAGTAGTGAAGCCACACTTGAACCCACTTGCCATCCTCCTATTCACCTCTTCTCTTGGATGAATCTCAGCATGCCCACCCCTGCTGCTCTTTTTCCCTCAACCTAAGACCAAATCATTGCCTGCTTAAAGGACAAGGATAAGCACATTTGATTCTCTGGAATCAAAAGAAGCATCTAGTTATCTTCTTTCCCAAGAAAAAAGGAAGGTTAAAGAGGAGCAAGAGAAGGTAAGGTTGGAAAGTGGTGGCTCCTACTACTGGGACTCACCTTGGAGCTGAGGTCCTCTCGTCGGTTTCCTGCCTTACTTCTACGTAGTTTGATGGATGGGGATCGCAGAAGGTTCTTGATCCGGCTGGTAATGGTCGAGCCTTCCACTGCCATCATGATGAGGAGACGCTTGGGAGTCCCAGGCCCGGTCGTGGGGCTTGTCTCAACAACAACACTGCCTTCCCACTCCACAGGGCCTTTCGAAATGCCCTCTCACTGACCTGAGATGGCAGAGGCTGCCTTAGCATCACAGTGGGTGTCTTACTTTCCGCCTAGCTAAGTCAGCAGCTTCGACCTCTATGTATTACCCTCTGCTTTCCCCTCATGCCCTGTGTGGTTTCTTACAACATCGGAAGGACAGATCCCTGAAAAAGGGGGGAAATCATGAGCCACAAAAATACTATCAGGCCCACGCGTGCCAGAGGCGCTTAACTGGAGAGACGGAATGGGATGGGCCCTAGTAGGGCTAGTGGCCGGATAGGTCCCCGTTAATTCCCAACTGTTCCCATGACAACTGCGGTGTCCAAGGGACAGGGCCACTGAGACCATCCGGGAGTTCCACTGGGTGTCTGAGCACCTGTGCTGGCGGCCGCGGGTACTCGGCGCGGCGGGGCTAGCTGTGGCCCAGTAACTCGTTCTGCCACCCAAGCCTCCCTCCCCCACCTCTCCACCCTCCGGAGCTCTCTGTCCGCCCTCCACACCGGCCCTGGACCTTTCTTTTTCACCCTCCTCAGAAGCCCTGCTACTCGTCAGCGCCCCCGCTCGGGCCCAGCCTCACCAGCCCCGGGGCGCGAGGGCCACCCGGCTCACAGCGCCCTCAGGCATCGCGCTCGGCGATTTCTGCTCCGCTGCCGCAGCTACAGCGGCAGCCGCAGCTATGGTGGCACCAGCGGCTCAAAACGCGAACTACTGTCTGGGGCCAAGCTGTGGGCTGGGTAGGCGGAGCCGACGTGTCGGGGTGTGGCCTGTAGCCGGAGGGCGTTTACAGAGCGAACGAGCGAGGTTTACACGGCCAACGGAGCAAAAACTTGGCCACAATAGTGTGTGCCGCTTTTAGAAGGCCAACAGAACATGGCTTCAGAATTGAGAGAACCAAGCCCGTTAAGGTATTATTAGGCCTGGTCCACCAGGAAACTGACCAGAGCCCCAAGACAATAACCACGCCCCCAAGGTGCTTCGGTTGGCATTTCCTAGGTCTCAGGGATCACAGCTGAAACTGACTCCTAGCTCAGAATTACAATATGGAGGTACAGCCAAAAAGCTCTGCTTTCATTGACCCCAAGCGCTGAATTTAAAGCAGTTCATATAGTTCTGCTCGAAGTTATCCTAGCACGATGACCCATGTGAAAAGGATTTTTCTGAGTAACCCAATTCAATCACTAAGAACAGTTTTGAATTGGGCAACCTGATTGGTCATGATGAAGGAGTCAGAGGGGAAGAGGACAGATGAGTGAGTGCAGTATGGAATACACTGTATTTGTTTCATGATTTCTTTACATTCCAATGCCTCATCGCAATTTCCCACCCACAGTTAACTACGACTGACTTTGTTGTTCCAAATCTCTTTTTGTTCCTGTAAAAAAATACTGCTGAATCCTCTTTCCTACTTGTTACCTGCCGGAGTCACTGTCGAGCCTGCAGGCACCACATCAAGTAATATAGTTTCTCTGGCTAGTGAGGAGGGGGAATATATGTAAATACATAGATGTTTAAACCTAAGATTTTATTTTCTAGAAGCCCCATAAAATTATTAAAAAAATTAAACCAATTGGCAATAGCTACCATTGATGTGGCCTTCCTCTCTGCAACCATGCCTTGCAGATGTTGTGAAACATTAAATGGATTTTCAAATTTATTTTCCAAATCTGGAGAAAGGCAAGAGCCAGCAGCCATAATAGCAGGAAAGAGGTAGTTTGAGGCAGCGCCTGTGGCTCAGTGAGTAGGGCGCCGGGCCCTAGGTACCGAGAGTGTCGGGTTCAAACGTGGCCCTAGCCAAACTGCAACAAAAAAATAGCTGGGCATTGTGGCGGGCGCCTGTAGTCCCAGTTACTCAAGAAGCTGAGGCAAGAGAATCGCCTAAGCCCCGGAGTTGGAAGTTGCTGTGAGCTCTGACGCCACAGCACTCTACTGAGGGCAATAAAGTGAGACTCTTGTCTCTTGAAAAAAAAAAAAAAGGAAAAGAAAGAGGTAGTTTGTTCCTTCAGTCCCTTGCTAGTCTGATTGACCTCTCCATGAAAATAAAACACTAATAAATGGTGCCACCTGGTGTCTTTAATTGTGTGCTGCAAACCACAGCAACCGCCATATCCACCCATAAAACAAAAACTAAGTGCTCACACGAGTTGTCCCTAATCCTTTCCAAATCATTTTTGTGTCCACTAGCAAACTGCAACACTTATCTAACCACTCATGGCCAGGTACATGGGTTTAAAAAATGTCATTGTTCAGGCCCTGCACGGTGGCTCATGCCTGTAATCCCAGGACTCTGGGAGGCCAAGGCAGGTAGATTGCTGGAACTCAAGACCAGACTGAAAAAGACTGAGACACCACCACCACCACCCCTCCGCCCCCTGCCCCCGCCTCTAAAAATAGCCAGGCATTGTGGTGGGCATCTACAGTGCCAGCTACTTGGGAGATTAAGGGAAGAGAATTGCTTGAGCTCAAGAGTTTTGAGGTTGCTGTGAGCTGTGACACCACAGCACTCTACTGAGGACCACAAAGTGAGACACTGTCTCAAAAAAAA